ACTACCTACGTACTACCTACGTACTACTCGTAGTAGTCGGTACGTACTAGTACTACTAATACGTATACGTACGTACGTACTACCTACCCTTCTCTCTCTCTCTCTCTCTCTCTCTCTCTCTCTCTCTCTCTCTCTCTCTCTATATATATATATATATATATATATATATATATATATATATATCGGTAAAGAAGGTTGATCAAACTGCAAAAGACGAATATCTGTCCAAACCTGAAATGTTTTTCAGTTCGTGCAATAGATTGGCATCTCGTAAAAGCATCCCCAAATCTCACATACGAAAGCCCTCTTATTGCTCTGCAATTTCCAATATTCAATAAATCACGTGCACCCTATAGAATAATTAATGCCATGAATATCAAAATATACAGGTCAATGAATAACCACCTTTCTATACGATTACGTAAAGCCTGAGATAATGCGATTGCAACCTCCTCTGAATCTCCAGGGGCTACCCAGAGTCCAGCTCCAACAACTTCACCGCAGAACTATGTACTGTTAGTTTTGCTGCTAATGCCAAAAAAAGTAAACTACCGAATTCACTAGTTAGCCAAAATAAACCACAGCAAATCGCATTATGCCAAATGTCCAAAAGGTACATCTATAAGAAACACTCGCATGGAATACCTCTCAACCTAGACACAGCAGGCTGAGCAGCTCCAACAATAGCAGTGTGACGTCCAGGCAGGAAAAGCCATAGTTTGATCTTCTCATCTGTGCATTTCAAATTTCAACAAATGATTCGTCCCAGTAATAGCTATGAATTTATTACTAAGGAAAGAGCACCATGACAACAAGCAACACATTGCTTGGCAACCTTACCTGGGTTGTGTACACCCTGGGAAGGATCCCAGGGACCAACAAAGGAATTGGTCCATGTGCTGAGATATCCTTCATTCTGCAACTGCAAATGAGATGAGAGCACCAACAATGTGGAAGCATCTTTTTGCCCTTCAGCATTCACACTGCCAAGAAACCACAAAATATTGACTACAAGCAAGTGACAGGAGTATCACATCAAACCAAGATAATTCGGGCACTATAATTGGAAGATGAGGATCAATACCTTTTATCAGTTAGGGTGGTGGCATCATATTCACAAGGTAACAACTGGAACCATGAAACAAGTTGTAGACCTCCCTGCAGATGTTGCCACAATCACAAAATGGTCAAGATAAATTATGAGTAACCAGTTAATTAATGCTAAAACAGGTAAACACAAACTAAGTTTTAACATACAATTCTAAAGACATTGGTCCACATAATCGGAACAGCAGCAAGTCTCTCCTTCTAAAGAAGGTGAAAAGTCTGAAATTAAAAAATTACAAACAACTCGTTGTGCTATCATCACCTGCAAAAAGATGATAAAAGTTTAATAAGTTCAGAGAAAAATAACTTCCATACTTTAATGAATACACGAGATATATAGTAGTCGATCAAAAAATATGAAAATAAATAAATGAAACAGATGGCAACTCCATATTTCTTAGAAATGCTAACACTCTGATTTTGAATAATGAAGAAACCACAATCATCCTGTCTTAAGAAACAATGAAATATAAAGGGATGATAGTTGAAAATACACATCTTTATAATAAGTTTAATGAAAACCTCACTCAAGGGAAAATAATGGGAGCTGAATAAGAAACTAGAAATGTACACCATGCAGAAGTATCATAAGTAGCAGTGATCACATGGAAGAAAAACAAAAAGAAATTACTACAACAACCCAGCAATAGCAGCAAATATGTTCCTTTTTTATTTTTAAAATTTTGGTTTCATTGATTGCATAGAAGTGTATGGGAAACAGGAGCGTAACCTCAGGAGGCTCTACAAAATAAAAAAAGCAGCTTTAAAGCCCTAAAAAGGATGTAACAATATCCATAACATGGACAAAATTAACAAAACTGTACAAAATCAAACCAGTCAAATTTATTTTGCCTCAGGCCCGTTGTTCCATAGTAATGATCTCTCAAATAAGGGTGTAAATGGGTCGGGTATGGTCAAGTTGACCCCGATCTGGACCTAACCTAACTCAGTTGGGGAAGCGGACCCAGACCAGCCAGGGTCCAGATGTCACTGTCCCAGACCCGACATGCCATGGGTTATGTGGACCAAAACTGTCGCAGAACCTGCATACACCTCTTGTTTTAACTGAAATCATCAAAGCCCCATTAACAAAAGAATGAATGAAAGAGAACGTATCTATGATTTGCAGAAACCCAAGATTTAGAAAGTAGGAGAAAAACAATAGTATGATTCTTTTTTAAAAGAAAAGAAAAAAAAACAATAGTATGTGCACGTGTGTGTGCAGGGCCATTATGATGCCTTGTGGATGCTGTGGATGTTTGTGTTACTGAAGTTTCCTCTCTTGTATGTGGAAAGCCCGAGAAATAGTTGTTGTAATGTCCTGAAAATGTGGCTGAAGCTGTAGGAGGCCTATTCGGGTTCATTTGTGAGTTCTAGTGGACAGATCTTAGTGCATTGATAAATATCTCTATCCTTTTGAGTGGTTCCTAACATTGTACTAGGCTTGTGTGAGTAACTGAAATTTGTTGATCCTGATTGCCCTCTTCTCCTTTATTTTATACGGTTATGTATAGAATCCTTAGTCTTCCTGAAATTGTGGGGATACAAATCACCTCAGTAAAATTAAATGAGTCCATTCATGTTGTATGGCTAAATCTGCCGAAGTCCCCCTTGGTACAAGGAAAAATGAAATACTTGACTGAGAACAAGCCTAGTAAATATGATTGTAGATATGAAGAGTGGATGAGGGTAGTAAATCTGATAGTAGATATGAAGAGTGGATGAGGGAGAATTACACAAGTATGATCTGGTTAAGGAGTAGTTTGGAATCGCAAATAAGTGTCAATGTGATGTTTCTTGATACAACTAAAGAAAGTTTATACACCTTGAAAGAAACATATTTATCAAATAAATATGTCTCTCGGGTATATAAGTTGTTTGAGAAAATGTTTCAATTGCAACAAGGTACTAAGAGTGTGAATGACTATTATAGCACTCTTAGGGGTATGTTGGAAGAGCTCAATGTTCAAAAATTGCTGCCTAGCCACCTAGGCAGCTAGGCGACCAAAACACCTAGACATCACCCTAGGCGGGCCACCTAGGTGTCTTGCGTCCATTGTTTCAAAAAGCAGCCTACCTAGCACCTAGGCCGGCCACGGGGCCTAGGCGCATCACCCAAGCCTAGGTGGGCTTCCTAGGCAGGAAGTCCCTGGGTGCCCGCCAGGCACATGGGACCCCGCCTAGGCAGGTGCCCAGCCCAAAAGCAAAAATGCTCCTCATTTAGGGGCATTTTTGTCTTTTTACCCCTAAATTTGGGGGAAAAGGGGGATTTATTGTGTGACCTTAAGAGTGGAAGAAAAATTTAAAAACAATCACCTTTTTAGATTTCTAAGAGATCAATTGAGTATTTCAGAGTTTGAAAAATCGAACCAAACATCATCTTTTTGGTTTGGATTTGATTTTGATGATTTTTTAAGCTTGTTAGAGAGTTTTTGGGAAGTATTTGAGATTGGGAAACATCTCAAACATTGAAGCTTGAAGATCAAGTAAAAAGGTTAATTAAAAATCTTCATATTTGATATTTTATTTGTTATTTCAATGTCTTCTTCGGGTTCTTCTAGAAGTGGTGATCCTAGTTGGAAGTATGGTTATAACCCAAAACAAATGACAAAAAAAAGTGTATAAAAATTGTATAAGGTGTAATTTTTGTGAAAAATATACCAAATGGGTATTAACTGATTCAAGAAACACTTTGCCGGTATTAAAGGGAATGTTTTCCCTCATAAAAATGCTCCTGAAGGTATCAGAGAGAAGATTAAGCAATAAATGAATTCAGTAAAACACAATCAAGAACAAAAGCCTTATTATTTGGATAAATCTATTTTTGGTTCTTCTAGAAGTGGTGATCCGGGTTGGGAGAATGGTTATAACCTGAAACCAAATGATAAAAATTGTATAAGGTACAATTTTTGTGAAAAAGATACCAATAGGGGTATTAACCGATTCAAGAAACACCTAGCCAGTATTAAAGGGAGTGTTGCTTCATGCAAAAAGTGAAGCTATTAGGAATGAGATTAGACAATATTTGAATTTAATAAAACAAGAAAAAGACGAAAGGAGCATTTTTATATGGCAATATATTCTCCTGGTTCTTCTAGAAGTGGTGATCCAGGTTGGAAATATGGTCATAACCTGAATCTGAATGACGAAAATTGTATAAGATGTAATTATTGTGGAAAGGTTGCTAATGGGAGTATTTACCTATTCAAGGAACACCTTGTCAGTATTAAAGGGAATGTTGTCCCGTGTAAAAATGTTCATGAGGCTACCAAGGAGGAGATTAAGCAATATTTGAGTTCAATAAAATACAAAAAGCAATAAAAGGGTGAAGAGGCACCAAGTACAGCAACCAAGACTCTTAGGGCCTCATCTGCACAGAGTAAGAGTGGGGTAGAAGAAGAGGAAGAGAAAGATGCAGATTCAGAAGAAACAGAGGAGGATGAGTATTATGTTGAAGAGGGAGAAGACTTTGATGATGAAGGTCTCGAATCCAACGCATATGAGGCTTACTGTACTTTTTTTTATGATGACTGAAGACACTTGACTCTTGGTGTTAAGTCTTAGAAACTATATTTTCAGTTTCCTATTTTGTAGTCTCTATTATCTACTCTTATGTGTATGCCGGTATGGCTGAATCATTGTATGCAAATATGGATTATGGAATGATATGAACTATGGAGCATGGAGTATGGTCTATGGAATATGCATTATGGTTGTGTTTGTATTACTACTTTACTTATTACTATTATATTTTATTTTTTGTTGTGTTAGTAGTCCATCTACTACGATATACAATAGTCAGGAACTTTTTGTATTATGGGATTTTTAATGCTTTACGATGTATACTCATATTCCCCTGCCCCCTGCCCCTCGTCTTCAACCCAATTCCTAGGCTTCCCAGGTTCTAAGCGGCTGTCAAAGCGCTTGGCGGCTGTCAAGGCGCTAGGTGGCCAGGAACCCCGAGCCGCCTAGGCACCACCCAACATTTTTTGGAACATTACTTGTGTTTAGGTGGAACCTTATCCGCCAAGGCGCAACATTGAAGGCGTGCACCTAGGCGACGCCTCGAGACAAGATTGCAGAGGGCAGAAAAATGCCCTCAATAAGGGCCAAAAAGTTAAATTTTCACCCTCTAAAAACGGAATAAAAAGGTTTTGAGGGATATTCTAATCCGTCAACACTAAAATTGCTGCATTTAGAGAGAGAAAAACCCGTTAAAAACCTCAATTCCATGATTTATTGAAAGAACAATAAGTTATCGATTTTTTCGATATCATCTGAAATCAAAGGCAATGCTTCATGGTATTTTTCAGAGCTTCATGTCGTCAAAATTAATGACTTTTGGCAACCGAATAGACAAGGTTTGGTCCGACATCGTTTTTATTTTGATAAGGTTAGAGTATTATGATATTTGAAAGGGTTTTATAATAATATTTTATGCTTTGAATCATTTGATATGTTTTTACTTTTTTTTCCTTTTCTTACTTTTTTTTCCTTTTATGATATATTTACATGTGTGTAGTTCAAAGATTGAATGTTTTTGTGACTATGATTAGTTCATGATATTGGGTTCTTTTACAATGATTGATTCTTTTTTTGAACAATGTGTGATGTTTCGATATTCTATTAATTTTGGTAACTTTTTTTATATTTTTACATGTTCGTAGATGAAATATTTACCGATTTGGACACATATTTTGTGAATAGTCTTAAACTTTGAATGAAATTGATATTTTGTGAATATTTGATTTTGATACCAAAACCAAATTTTGTGGATATTAATTAATAATTATGTTGTATCTTAAATCTTATGTGAAGTTATGTGATTACCTTTTTTAGATTGATATCATGTACTCAGTTTCATGTTATGCGATTTTTGTTGGCTTGAACCTTTGGATAACCAAACATTAGGTGATTTTTAATATTTCATTTGGTTTCCACATATTATGAAATTTAAAAGTTTCATAATATTGTGAAGTTTCTTTCTTTATGTAGTTTCTTTTTTTTATATATCTTCATTATATAAACTTGTTAAACAGGTACAATAGTCCTTGGTTCCCTCTTCGTCTTCTACTGTTGCCCTTGCTAATTCAAGTACTTTTGTGTTTCTTGCCTCTCATAAACCTGCTCCCTACGGTATTGACTCAGGAACCTCTGATCAAATGACTAGTGAATCATTTCATATGGCATTGTCGGTCAAGTCATCCTTCTCCCAATAACTTGAAATTCTTAGTCCCTTCTTTGGAGCCTGTGACTGCTATAGAGTGTGAAGCTTCTCAATCATGAAAGAATCACAGGGTGTCATTTCGTCCCAAAGTTGACAAACAGAGACTTGTTCCAATTATAATGGTTTATTCAACAAATATGGGGTCCAACTAGAGTACAAAATTTATCTGGTCATAGGCATTTTGCATCTTCCATGGATGATTATTCACAAAAGGCATAGTGATACTTTTTTTTTGAGAAATGTTAACATGTGTATTGATGTAAAAGAGAGATTACAGTATAGTATTCCTCCGGGAGTGCCCTGCAAATATGTTGAACCTCAGCAAAAACTTGGGTCAAAAACCATGGTGGATCACACATCCTACTAGCCCAAGAGATGACATTCCTTGAGTCACCTTCCACTATCAGACTTGTGAACCAGGAGGGCTTGAATTTTTTTTAAGGCAAGGAGGAGAGCTAAGGCTTCTGCATGGTGAGAATCCTTGAGGCCGAGGTATTCGAAGAAGGTGAGGAGTATATTGCCCTCAAAGTCTTGAAAGACTCCTCCTGCCCTTGCTGGACCAGGGTTCCCCAAGGAGCACCCGTCGAAATTAAGCTTGGTGCTGCCCTGGTTTGGTGATAGCCAGTTGCATGGCCTTCTTACCCCCGCTGGTTGGTGATGAAGGATAATCCCCCATTGAGAGTGAAAGAAAGCTCCTGGAATTCCAGCAAAGAAATTAAGGTTGGATGCCCAAAAAGTAACCAGGGTGGTTACCTTGTGCAAAAGAGCCGAAGTTGGAAGCTTAGAACCTCAGAAAATTCTGGAATTTCTTTCCAGCCACACTATCCAAATGGTGGCAGCTAGGGTCGCCTTCCATAGGATTCTTCCTGCCTTAGGCCAACTTGATTCAAAATTGTAGGTTAGGAAGGCTTTAACCGGGGGGGGGAACCCATTGCGTGCCAAAAAGTTGTAACACCCTGCCCCATAGGTCAAAAGAAAAGTCACACAGCAAGAACAGGTGATGGTTTGTTTCCTCCTCACGTTCGCACAGGGCACACCTATTGGGGATGGGGACCCCTCCTCTTTGGAGGTGATTGAGGACCTTTTGCGAAAAGGCGAGCCAGTTGAAGGTTTGCACTTTTGGTGGAGCAATAGTGGACCAAATTCTAAACAAGGGATCGTGGGTGGAGGGTAAGGAGGCGAGGCCTTTGTAGAAAGAAGACACTGAGAACTTGCCCGAGGGGGTTAAGGTCCAAATGATTTCATCTCTTCCATGAGAGAGGAAGAAGAGAGAATGAAGTGTGTTCAAAAGCCGCTGGAAATCAGCAGTTTCCTCCTCAGTTAGGTTCATTCGAAATGATGGATTCCAAACTCTACGACCTTCTAGGAGGCTGAGTTCCTGGGTAATAGAGGAATCCTGATCACGGGCAAGAGAGAAAAAGGTTGGGAAGGCCTCACGGAGAGGGGAGGGCCCTAATCATAAGTCTTGCCAAAATTTTACTCTCAAGCCATCTCTTAGGTGGAACCTTATGTGTCTCTTGAAAGAGGTCAAAACTGTTGAAATAGACTTCCAGGCTCCTGACACATTATGGACTTGAGCCCTCTCTAGCAACCAGGTTTCTATGCGGATTATGTACTTGTGTTTTACCACCTGTGCCCAATTATGACCTCTATGGGGATACAATATGGGATTGAGCCCTCTCTGGCATGGTGATACTTAATAAAAGAGAGATTTGAGATCTTCTCCATTTTTAAATTGTTTCATAACGAGATGCAAACTCAATTTAATAAGAATAAGAGGATTTTACATAATAATGATAAAGAGTATCTTTCTAGAGAATTTTAGAAGTATTTTACTAAAAATGGGATTATTTTATACCAAAGTTTTGTGCGCACTCTCAACAGAATGAGGGTACTAAAAGAAAAAATTAACACTTTCTTACTTGAAGTAGATCCATACTCTACTTATTAATATGCATGTTTCAAAAGTTTATTGGGGAGATGCCTTATTACCTCGGGCTATTTGATCAATTTTATACTCTCTTTAATATCAAAGGAAAAAATACCACACTCGGTTCTATTTCCTAATGCTCTACTGTTTGTTGTTCCTGAGTGTTTAAGCGTGTTTGTTTTATTCATATGCTAGGTACTGGTAACGATAAGCTAGATCCCTGGGCTGACAAGTGTGTTTTTCTCGGGTATTCACGCTTCCACAAAGGTCATCTTGGTTCATAAAAGAAATTTGTTTGTGCTGAGGTTACTTTTTTCAAAATACTCCTTTTTTGTCAAAAGAGTCATGTGCTTGATACAAACTTTTTTTATCCTACTTCTGAAGAAGTTTGTAAGTCCTTGACTTCTATGATTCCTCTTCCTAATCCCATTGATACTTCTTCTTCACCCCAATTACATGACTTCACTGAATATAGTACATCTATGCACCATGTTGTTTCTCAGGAGTAGTCTATAACGGTTTACATTAGAAGAAAAGAAGAACGATGGGCATCACAAACCAACTCAGCAAGCCATTCAATCATCATCTTCGTGTACTAGTCCACTTCCTTCTTATGATGATGATGTACCTATTGCCATTTGTAAAAACACTTTCTTTTATTGTCATAGTCTGGTGGGTAAGGTGTTCGGTAAGATTGGGTCTCGGCAGCCTCTATGCCTCTCATATGCCGGTCGACTTCAGTTGCTTAAGTCTGTATTGGGGGGCTATTCGGTTTTTTGGTTGTTATCCTTCATTCTCCCGAAGAAAACATGTAATATGATAGAAAGACTACAGAGGAACTTCTTATGGGCCGGTAGCAGAGAAAAAAGGTGTCCATCTCGTAAAATGGAAAACAATGTGCCTCCCCATGGCTGAAGGAGGTCTTGGGGTAAGGGATATGGTGAATTATAATATTGCAGGAATGATGAAGTTAGCATGGAGAATTTTGGAAAATCCCTCCTCATTGTTGACACGATTCTTCAAACATCGATATTTTAGAAATTCCTCTATTTGGGAGGCTGAAAGCAGAAGAGGATGTTCTCATGCATGGAAGGGATTTTACTTGGATTATTTCATTTGAGAGGTAATGTATAGTGGAATATTGGTAATGGTCAGACGGTGAATTTCGAGATGGAGCCATCGTTAGCAGATTAATCACTTTCAGATTTTCGCGATGATAACATTCAGAAATATTTGGGGACTGTTGTAGGAAGTAGGGTTCCAGACTTTATCAGAGGAGCACCTCAAGCTTGGGTGCTGCCACATCCCACAACTGTTTTTTTGAGGAATATATTGAGAGAGGTGGAGAACTATACTCTCTGTATACATCCCAAGAAGGATTCACTGGTCTGGATTCATTCTACTGATGGATCTTTCTCTATTAAAAAGGCATGGGATTTTATTAGGCATCAAGGTTCATCTCAGCCCATTTTCCGTGCTCTTTGGTCCTCCAAATGCCACTCAAGGGTGAAATGCTTCTCATGGCTGGCCTTACATAGCCGATTGCCCACTTCCTTCTTATTACAACAGCGAGGCATACAATTGGACTCTTTATGTCCCTTTTGCAGTAACCATGATGACAATCTATTCCATTTATTATTTCAATGTGCCTTTGCACAGGGTGTTTGGAGATCTATCAGTGGAAAAAGGCTTGTCCTCGATTCCTCTGTCCCTAATTTACTTAGGTGGTGGTTACTTTTCAGGTTTAAATCACAGGGAATACATAATATTTGGGCTTCCATGTTTTTTACTGCTATTTGGTTTTTATGGGAAGAGCGCAATAGAAGCGTTTTTGAGTCAAGACCCACCAGAAGAGAGCTTATTGTGAAAAAGCTTGCACTACATGTTCAGGCACTTGCAGAAGTTAAGAAGTGGTCTTTTCATTTATCAAAAAAGGCCATCATTGAGAACCTTCGGATAACTTGGCAGCAACAGAGGGCTTAATCCTCTACTTCGGAAGCGTGGTCTTTTCTTGGGACTCATAATTTAAAACTCAATATTGATGGTGCTTCCTTGAGAAATCCAGGTTCAGCCGGTAGAAGTGGAGTTATTAGAAACAGTGTAGGCGCTTTTATTGAGGCTTTCGCAAAGCATTTTGGTTTTGCTTCTAATAATCATGTAAAATTCTTGGCATTTGAGGAAGGAGTTCAATTGGTTATTCAAAATAATTGCTCCCCAATTCAGATTGAAAGTGACTCGACCTTGCTTGTGAATGTCATTCAGAATCGATGCAATGCTCCATGGAGGCTGAAAACGATTGTTGACAATTGTTGCACCAGACTGTCTTCTCATCGATGGTCCATTACACATGTCTTTCGTGAGGCTAACATGGTTGCTAATGCCCTAGCTAAGAGGGCAGCTGCTGGCCCCGGTGCTGTTGTGTAGTGCCATAGACCACCAGATTTTCTATCCTCTCTTTTAGTACATGATCTGGCGCAATTGCCCTACCATAGGGTTGTATCTTAATTATTTTGTTTTGCTCTTTTATTAATGAAAAAAAGGGTAGGGGGCCTTCTCCCCCACTGACTTACCCAAAAAACAAAGGTATTAGGCCTTGTACTCAACATCCAATTCCACATTTGTTATCTTTACAAATTTGTCTCCACCATATCGAAGTTTTGTTTCAGCTTTTTCATCTGTTTTTGTTCCTAAGACCTATCAAGAAGCACTCTCTCATACTAGGTAAGAGAGAAATGGAAGAAGAGATGGATGCACTTCTTTCAAATAATACATGGGCCGAGTTATCAGCTGGAAAAAGGACTGTTGGTGCTGATGGGTTTATGCAATCAACTATCAACCTAATGGCACTGTAGAAAGATTAAAAGACAGGTTGATAGCAAAGGGATGCACAAACATTTGGCATTGACTATCATGAAACACTCCCCTATCTAAACTTAATTCAGTTTCAGTGGTGATATATGTAGCTGCCAACAAGGTATGGCTGTTGAGGCAGCTTGATGTCAAGAATGCTTTCCTCCATGGTGATTTACATGAAGAGGTGTACATGGAGCAACCACCTAGGTTTGTCCTCAAGGGGAGTCGGATAAAGTGTGCAAGTTGAAGAAAGCCACTTATGACCTAAAACAGTCCCCACATGCATGGTTTGAAAACTTCACCAAAACCTTTCATATGGATTTTGGCGCAGTCATGCAGATCATTTAGTGTTTATGAAAACAAGATTCCAAAATAATTGCTTTAGTTGTCTATGTTGATGTTATTGTTGTTACTAGCAATGATTAAGAAGGAATCAGTCATTCGAAGAGTAATCTAAAACAATATGTTTAGAACAAGGGAATAGAAAAGCTGCAATATTTTCTAGAGCAACCATATCAAAGCATGGAATTAGATTTTCTCAGAGAAAACACGTTATTAATTTGTTCACAGAAACTAGAATGTTGGCTGCTACATCAATGGATATGCCTATGGATTCAAATGTAAAATTATTAGTTGATCAGGGGGAGTTGTTTGAGGATTCATGAAGGTACAGAAGACTGATAGGCAGGTTGATTTCATGATCATCACTAGGCCTGATATTGCTTTTCCAATAAGTATTGTGAGATGGTTTATGCATGCTCCGAGGATTCCTCACTAGGATTCTGTTCATAGGATTTTAAGGAATTTGAAAAGAGACCCAGATCGAGGTCTAATTTACAAGCCAAATAATCACTTAGCCACTGGAAGTTACTCGTATGCTGAATGAGGCAGGTTCACCATCTGATAGGCATCGACCACAGGTTATTGTATACTTTTTGGTGGAAACTTAGTAACATTATGAGAGGCAGTGCAGAGGCTGAATATAGAGCAAGGACACATACTACATGCGAATCAATGTGACTAAAAACACTGATGCAAGAGATGGGGTTTACTATTGATTAACCTATGAAGATGTAATGCGATAATAAAGATGCACTTACATTGCCAGTAATGCAGTGTTTCATGAAAGGACCAAGCGTATTGAAGTGGATTGTCATTTTATCCACGAGAAAGTTGCTAATAAGCAGGTGTCTACTCCACACGTGAAATCTAAGGATCGGCTGGTAAACATCTTCACCAAAGGCCTTGGCCATAATATGTTCCATGTTCCAAGTTGGGCATGGCCGCCATTTACACTCTAGCTTGAGGGGGAGTGTCTTTTGTTATTAAAGTTCTAGGACCTAAGTGTCCTTTGTTATTTGTATCGGCAGTTTTGTCCTTTCATATTGTTAACAATATATATTAGTTTGAGAGGTGCATGAGGGGCAATAGACCCCGCAGCACTCTCCTGCCTCTCTCACATCCGTCATATATCGCTCTTCTCTCTCACGTGTCTCTCATATCTCTCTCTCTATCTTTGCCTCTCTTCTCTCTCTTCTTTCTTTTTCCCTTTTCCCTCTCTAGGTTATCTAACACAATAAAATAAACAAAAACAAAACATAAATGAATTCTAAGGTTCCATATCAAAACAAATCTTACTGCTCGTCCATCCATTGTGAGCTTCTCCTACAGAACCCCATCAAAAATCAAAGGATCTCAAAATATAGCAAACCTCAAAACCCCAAGACCTTCATGTGATAGTGTCGTCATGAACATATGAAACATCTTCGTTGCTGAAATCATCCTTTAAGTTATCCACTGAAATTTCCCAGAAATTTCCATAGGAAGGGTTCCCTTGATTTAATCCATGGCTTATCTTTAGATAACTACGCGAATTTTTCCCCTTTTCTCTTTGGGTGTTGGAACAGCAGAGAGTGAAAGTAGAAAAGAGAGAGCCTTGGGATAAGAGGTTATCTACAGTGAAGCTCATGGATGGATGAGAAAGTCAAGAAACCTTGATTTTTGCAATCCCTCTCTTCATCCAAAGAAAGTTCATAAAGCAGAAGAAAAAGAAGAATTGAGTGAATAAAACTACACGGAGTTTTCCCCTTTTCTCTTCATCCAAGGAAAGTGCAGTTGTTTTCTTTGAGGAATTGAGTGAAATTGTGAATGCCCCAAAATTTCAAACTTCTATTTTTTTTAATTTTTCTATAGATATTAGATAACAAAATTTGGGTGTGAATGCACCTTAGTAAGGCGACCAATTCCCTAAGAGAAAACAAAAAAGAATGAAAAAGAATTAGTAAGAAGGGGAGGGGGGGGGGAGAGAAATATGAGAGTAAATTTGAGATAACCTTGGTTGGGGTAGATAGAGGAGAGCGAGAGAGAATGGGAAAGCTAGACATCGAATGAAATAGATTGATAGAGAGAGAAAGAGGGAATGAGGTAGGTCAGGAGAATGAATTAGAGAGAAAAAGAAAGGTCGTGAGTAGAGAGGGACAGGGTAAAAAGCAGCGAGAGAAAAAAACGGGGTAAGAGAGAGAAGGATAGACGAAGTTATAGAGAGGGCAGAAGATAGAAAGAAGTAGAGAGAGCGAAAGCGGTAGAGAGCTAGAGAGGTAGTTTGCAATAAAGACTCCAAAAAAGAAAAGGTCAGAAAATGACACCAACAGAAGTGCAAGCAGAAGTTGAGAGGCTTCTTCAAGTAGTGCTGGTGGCACCACACTCAGCAGCCCCTTCTTTGGCCAGAGCTTCCACTGTGGCATTGGCCTCCACAAAATATGACAGAAGGCGACTTGAAGCTGCCTGCATAAATGAAAATTTTGATCAAACATATTACAGTCTCCAAGGATATTGGGTTTTCCTACTAGTCCACCCAAAAATATTTTTAGAAACACCCTCCACTATAGGTGTTGGCCGCTATCCTGGTTGAACCTCTTTAACCCTCTAGGAATGTGTTGGTCTTGGCCCAGGTGGAGCCACCCATACCATGATAGCCATGGAAGGAGGAGATGACATTTGCCTCGGAATCTCTAAAGATAGCCCTAAAGCCACAAGGCCCTCAGTTTACAAGTGAGCACCCATCTATATTCAGCTTGATGGTTCCTTGGTTCGGAGGAATCCACAAGGCCATCCTGGGTAGCTTAAGAGGCTTGCACCTGATGATATTCGACGAATTGGAGGCAAAGTCAGACATAGAACAGTGTTTGAGATCTTTGAAGTTTGATGCCCAGAAAATGGTAAGATTTCTAAAGCAGTCAGTAATGGAAGGTAATGACCTCTTCTTAGCGCTAAAGATGCTAGAATTACTTTGGCCCCGAAATTATTCATGGTATAGCAAAACAGAGGCTTTCCATAGGAATAAGCCCAATTTATGGTATAGCAGTGAGAAGTACATGGGGAAAAATCGTGCTGTTGAGGTCAGACCAATCCATTGCCTATTGAATATATTTCAGCTCTTAGGTACAGAGATTGGAAGCCACATCAAAGTGGAGAAAGAGGTTGCTATGTTTCCAGACACATAAAATGATTCACCTGAGGAAAACCTCTTCTTTGTAGCTGAGGCACAGTTAGGTTACGGTTAGAGATGACCAGCCAGGAAACTATTATTTGGTTGGGATGGGGTAATCCAAGCTGTAATCAGAGTGGAGGTAAATAAGGTAGATGGCTAGGCCGAAGAAAGGGCTCAGTAAAAGGAAGAGACAGTAAAACTATAGGATTGAGTTTTTGTTCATATGATTTGTCATTAGCCGAATTTGTGATAAAGAACAGGCTATAGCAGGCGAAACATATTTAATAGCTCTTTGTTATTAACAAGTGCAGTATCTTCTTAAAAAACACAATAAGCCCTTATAAAAAAACACAATAAACACTCAGACTGAACCATCCCAAGCAGATCCCAGATCTCCACAGACAGGGCAGATGAAAAAGAAAAACCATTGTCATGCAATCACTTTTGTCAGCATCCTAAATCACCACAGCCTATAATAAATGACTAGAGCATGTTGTATAACATGAAAAAAAGGATATCTCATATCCATCATAACAGCCCCTTCCAACACTGAATAAAGTTCTCTAGTTGCACCAAATGATCTTTCCCTTAATGCAAGACTACCTTTTAGAAAACCATTCAGGATATCTGGGCACCATGACAACGATTGTTAAGAGTTGAACAACAAGAACCTCCAATCATCCAGTACAATCCCCTTTTCCCTTTAACACATGACCCAACAAAGGAACCACCTATGCATAAATACAACTGTTGGAAACCACCAACATTTCAGCCAAGCCCCAAGAAAACCAATTTTCCCTCTCCTAACTCCCCACATGTACCAAACACAAAGAGAAAACACAAAAGCAAGCACCAAGAATACCAAATCCCTACTCATGTCCAAAAAAAAAAATGGAATTCCAAACCCCTGCCGAACACAATACTAAAAACAAGCAGTCCAACTCAAGAGGCCAACCAAACCACAATAAGCCCATTAATGGAGGTGTAAATGTATCACATACAAAGAGAAACAAGTCTCAACTCCTCCAGCACATACATAAAACAATCCCCGAATATCGCTGCCCTTAAAAATCTCTTCACTCTAGAAAGGAACCTACATTCACCATATCCTGTCAGCAAAAAATCCACATCTACCACACCAATAAAAAGACAATAGAAAGTTATGAAAACGAATATCAGCCTGAATGGTCATAGCAAAAAATTCCTCCTTCTCAAGAAGAACGTGTTAAGTCCCCAAGAAAGCCTAACAGGAATTGCCTCCTCAAACCCATTGGCAGCCAAAGGTCTCATGAAATAAAGGCAACTAAACTGCACAACCCTGCCACTCCAAATGCCTAACGTTCCCCATCCTCCTCACTACCCAAAAATTAGTAATGCTCGTCACAAGATCGATCAATTGCCATTAATTCCTTTAATAAAATGCTCTTAGCCCAATTACACCACAACATCCATTTGTTTCCCCTATCGTTAATTGTCCATATCATTTCCTTGGTGCGGATCACATTCTACAAAAGTTTTGGACTTCATCTCAATTTTTAATACACATGCCGCAAATTAACTCAAAATATGCCAAGAAGAAAAACATGAAATGCCTAACTTGAGTAAGATGCAATCAATTAACAAATTTCACCAGACCGAATCACTTTGCTTTAACCAATGTTTGAAAATGGGGCTCAGGAGAAGGAACTCACCCCCTGGCCTGTCCGAGCAACTCGGGTGAATCTTAATCAACTCATCGAAGTCTACGCTGAGTCACCCAATGAGCCAAATAAACACAAAAAAAAAAATAGGAACATTTGCGAAAAATCTGAAAAATCAGAAAACATACAAAAATTACAAAATCAAAGTAGTATATACAATATGGAGTACGAAAAATAAATTGATGCTATTGGCTTAAAAATTTCAGAAAAGGGGAAAAACATGAAAAAAGAATATAGAAAATAACAAATTAAAAGACATGAAAAGTATAAGAAAATTAATTAATAAATCAATTATAGTTGGTTTAATAAAATAAATCAATTATTTTTTATTTTTATAAATAATTATAAATCAATTATGTGGATTTAAATGAAAAAAAATGAAACTTACTCAAAATAATGAAGCATATCACCCAATCTTTGGGTTGGTTGAGAACTGATGCCTCCATTCCTCGTCAAAGCTTCATCAGACAACCGCAATTGAAACTCCCAAATCAGATTAGGATTTCATGTTTGGATCTAGATAATCCAAAATATTGAAAACTTTGGATGAAAGTAAAGTCCAAAAGGAAAATTCACATCTGAAATTTCTCATTTTTTTTTTTTTTTGGTGAGAAACAAGCCTATGATTGGATTAAGAACCCAGAAAAAGGCTTATGGAACAAATTTCATTGAAAACCAACCAACTTTTCAAATTGGGCAAAACCTTGGTTGAGATCTTCGATATCTCAAATCTATCAATAATCTTCGATATCTCAAATCTATCAATAATTTGATTTGTGTTGGCCAAAATCTGATCTATCAAGTCGATAGATCAATAGATGAGTCTATGGCCAAATTTTGAGCTCATATTGGTCTCTCTAGGGTGCAAAATGGACCAAAAAGGGTGGTGGATTCCCACGCCATATTCATTTGATTCACCTGTGCAGTGCACAGGTGAATATCGTAGAAACTCACCTGTATCCATGGCAAACTCACCTGAAATACAACAGGAGAATTGCAACAACTGGGTGGGTCTCTACAATATTCACCATAGTTATACATCCCCTAAGTTGGAGAGTTTTTCCAGGCTCAGCTAGCTGCCAAGCCCAAGCGACCCAGGAGAGTCCGAGGCGACATGCCCAAGTCAGCAAACACTGAAATCTGTCCAGAATGGCATCAATTTCCTGGTTGGACAACAAACAAGTAACCAGAATAATAAACCACCGCAAGTAAAAGGAATCCTAATGGAGCCAGAAAAAAGAGAAAGATAATTAAAAACAACCTGTGTGTTTCTCTGATAGTTCAATGAACCTTCTAGTACAGTTTCACATGTGTTAAAGTACATAAAAAGAGGAGGGGAATGAAAACTTCAATATTTCTTCTTCTTCTTTTTGACAACAAAGCAAATGACAGAAATTCTTAAGGCAAATTCATCCTCGATACATCCAAGTCTTCTTAATTGCACACCCAAAAAGGAAATAAGAAAGTATATCTTTACAATAATCAAGAATTGTAATGTTATCACCCCATGGGCACAGGATTAGACAAAGTGAAACTTAAATTCCTTCTCAAATTTCAAGAAGCAACAGTTTTCTCCATGAAAGAAACGCGTCATAAATCATACAATACCTCTTCGTTTCAAGAGAAAGTGGAAGCACGAGCAAAAGCCCACTGATACTGCTGCACACACAGGAATGAGAAAGCATGTGGTTTGTTTGAGGGCAAAGTAAAAGAAGCAAAGCATGGATTGCAGAAAAACCTAAACTGTGAAAAGAAAATCTCCATGTGATTACCGATTAGCTGCTGATTAGGGTTTAGTAGAAAGGGCAATGAATGTGTGATGCATGCAGGTGGACAAATGCTCTTGGTTTTGGGCGACGAAGATGCTTCTCAAAGTAGGCAAGTTTTTCAGAAACTTTCACTTTTCTTCTCATTAATTAGACGGGCATTCCACGTGTTGTGAGCTATTCATTTAGATGTTTTTATTTTCAAAGGATTTGTTAAAAATCTGATACCTTGGGTGTGTCTTAAAGTTCGGAAAAGACCCAATTTTAGATCCAATTTTAGACCCAATCTCATCATATGCTTTTTTTTTTTTCTTTTTTTTTTTTTAAATTAGTATTTAAAAGAAATTATTAATGAATTTTTAAAAAAATATTTACTAAAAATCTTTTTCATAAAGTGTCAATTTTATTATGAGCATTATATAAGTTGTCAATCTTATATCGTATAAATAAGGTGCACATAAAAAATTTACTCAAAAATATTATTTAGACATTAGAGAACCCTACAATTAATCATCCAGAGACTTCGAGCTGAATGTATATACAAGAAAATAAGATTTCAAATCCTAAACATAGTACATCTAGTCACATATTATATAAACCATATATATTCAAATTTTTTATCATTTATAGATGTACTTGATTTACGTAAATTTAGGAGCTTTAAACTTTATAATTAGGTGTTAAAATAGTTTCTTAGGTCATCAAAAGTGTTTCTTGTATATGACCTACATCTTTAAGCAAGATTTAGAGTTGTGCCTTATTGTATTTATTTAAAGTTGACACCTTGTACAAACTACACCCTATTTATTATAAATATAAAAGGCAAAGTTTATATAAGGTTCCAGCTTTGTAGGTCGATATGTATGGATATAAAGAAAAAATTGAATTTCAAGTATTAAAAGTAGCGCATATTGTAGCAAGTTAGATGTCCATTTCCAAAAAAATTAAGTAATCATGGATATGCATGAATTTTTAAATTTTAAATTTCATAATTAAAGTTGAACATAGATTTTTAAATCATCTTAAGGTTTTTGACACCAGAAACATCTTCATGCAAAATTTAAAATTACTCCTTACTTGTATAGTATAAGGTGGGCACCTTATACATACCTCACCCAAATATGAATTGTGAATGATATTAAATATGAATATGCAATACTTATGGTATATGGGTATTGTATGTTGTAGGTATATGGTTTTATGGTAACACATATGGTACGATAGTATAGGTATATAAGTAGAGAAAAGATAATATTGGAAAAGCAATTTTATATTGTTACCTTCATACCACAGCTCCATTTTGAAAATAGGATGATAGGTACATATGCAAATTCATAATTATAATGGAATCTACCTTTTCATTAAAACATCGACAATATATATTGTGTTGAAATAGACACAAAACTTCATAAAGTACAAGAAAATCAACAAATACATAAATGAAGTTTGTGAAATATATATGTATTGTGCTTTAGCTATTTTGCGTATAACCCACAGTAAAATAACCACATGCTGATTGCATATGTGACTTTTAAAGGTCTCATGATAGAGAGTAGGTGTCTCAACGATTCTTAATCTATTTAGCCCCAAAACAGAGAAATTCACTAACAATTTTTTAAAGGAATTTAAACAATCAACAACTAAGACTTCAATATAGCCAAAAGTTGGTTGCCTTTATTCATTTGGCATCTCTTTCAAAACATTTGATAAATTTTGTATCTCTGACTTTTATGATGACCAGCATTGGAATTTCCGACCACAAGTTTCGCTCTATTTCCATTCTCTTATGATATCAATATTTACATGAATTTTTTACATCATAAGGCTCAATGCTTCTGATTTGGCCTATCTGGTATTGATTCTCTATGAATATGTCTTCCATGTGATGTATCTCATTACTTCAGCAAAATACAAAAAGTTTGATACTATGAATTTCACCTCAAATTGTGGAGCCAATTATCTTCACTCAATTTAATGCTTAATTGATTCTTTAGTTTCCTATTTGCTATTTCCAACATATTTTAATGTAAACATTTAGGCGATGCCTCATATTATATTTAGAAGTCAAGTGATAATCACCTATATGAATATCAAAGGTGGACATATATCGGTAGAGCCTTGAAATGCACCTAAGTTGTTGTTGAGTTTCTTAACTTTTTTTTTTTTTTTTAACTCTGTGTGCATGAGATGCTCCATTACTCAAGGTTGATTAGGTACAATTTTCTCCCTTGCATACAACATTGGTTGAAAGCGTCATGGATTAAGTTAAAACATCATATTGATGAACGTTCAGCCTATGCACCTTAGCTAGATGTAGCAGTATATGTATGTTGCATTAACTGTTGGCTATGCAAGGTAAGGCCGAATTGCAAATTTTGTGGTGGACTCATTTTACTTATTGAAATGTCTAATCTAACAGCGATATTAGTAATGACAATGATGCACTGGTTTCACAAATGCAGTTTATGAGTAGGCATTCATGGAAAGATCAAACTGCTCAATCGAAAATCAAGTATTTCACCCAAATCAAAGCTCGGTCATCAACATTTGCAACCTTTGTAAGGGGCTCAACAGAGCTTGTAGACAAAGAGATAAGATTGTTAACAAAGTCTTCGAAAGAAGTTATAGCAGCAAGATAGAGCTTCCTATTTTGTGGGATTACAAGATATTGAGTTTTTTATATTGGGGATTACATCTGTAATGAGATTTGTTTCTAAAATAAAATTCTAATTCCATAAATCTCTCGTAAACTAGAGTGTTCCCATGAATGCAATACTGGTTTACTCTCCGTGGACATAAGCACCATTGTCGAACCACATATAAATGCATTGTTGATCTCTCTCTCTCTCCTATTTCTTTTATTGCACTTTCCACAAGAAGATTTTAATATGGGTGGTATTCCCATCCTCATTACACAAAAGTATGTCCTTCAAAATAGGGATTGATCCCATCTGAAGTACTAATCAGCAAAGGCAAATTGAAAATCAAACACAATTTTAACTTATGACAAGAAAACTGCATAACCGGTCGTGCCATGTGACTAGTATGTTGGATTATTTCATTCACCCCATAGGTAATATTGTGGATATGAAGCTCTATCACCCATTGGATTTCTGTTTTCAAATGGGTGATTGAGGTTCATATCCACAATATTACACGTGCAATCCAACAATTATGGTTTGAACACTATTAAAATCTTTACACTCATTTGTTTGGCATTTGTGTAATGAAACATGGCTCTATCCATTTTTTTTACATTTGAAGCGAGTTAATATCAACCTTGTCTTTGAAAGCCCAAAGCAAGACGCAGAGCATTGGAGTGTTCATGATTTCAATCTTTGCTTATAAGCTTAGTTGTTCATATCTTAAACTTTATGTGTGAGATAGAGCTAATGAAATGTTATTGGTTCTGTAGGAGTTTCAATTTTGAATCACTTCGATGATAAAAAGGTGGTCATATTTGTCAGCAATTATTTCTTTTTGTTTTTCTTTGTTTTGTAGCTGGAAGTTTATGCTAATTGATTTGGACAACGATGGAAGGTTTTCAAAAAGTGTGCATACACATTTTCATGATGGTCCTAGTAAAAAATCAAATTTGACTTCTATAGCCAAAAGTTGGAAATGATCTCAAATGCCATATTTCCTTGGTGACTTGTATAGATTGTGATAACGGTGAAAGAAGTGAAAAATGGGCTATCAATTTGTACTCCCTAATGGATTTTTTTTTCTTTGAGCATTTGAAACCTTTGCTTCCATAAAGAGGCCAATAAATAGTATACAGTTTGAGATCATGGACCAGAAACCCTGCTCTCTCACTAACACGTTCTAAAAAAGAATGTGGGCCAACGTTGGGGCTTAGTTCATAGCGCCAAGCATGGACCCAAACACTTTCAAATCACTGGATATGTGAACCTGCAAATTGGTGGCTCAATTGACAAGAATCTCAAAAAATTTGGAGGACTCTCAGTGGCATGAGAAAAAAAATTATTGACAATTGCAAGAGAGACGATTGAAGCGCATTGAGAGAGAGGGCATGGGATTTGTAGGAGAGAGATGATTGGGGGTGTGGAAGATTCATTTCCAGAGAATAAAGTTTTTATTTATTTCATGAGAGGTCCCAAAATAAGGCAAAGGCGGGGGGGTGTTGGGAAGATTTTTCCCTAATTTGAAAGTCAATATTGGGAGATTCCTTATTTATAAGAAAGAATTTCCTGGAAAATAATTTTGAAGGACCCAGATGTGCTAATAGATAAAATAATTAAAATTTTAAAATCCTTTAGTGGAAGAAAAAATACACAAAATAAATCATCAAAAAACTACTCTAAGTCCCAATTCTCACTTAAAAAAAAAGAAAAAAGGAGGATGAAAGCATAAAAGGTAGAACATAAAGAACAATGAAGAAAATAACAAAGAAGAAGAAATTCAAGTTGCGTTCATCTACACGAGAGAGTAAGCAATGAAAAACAGTGAGAGAGGGTATTTAATGAAGACTTTACTTCGTTGTATTTATGAAATTTTGTCTTTATAAGTATTTTCAATTATTTAAAGGTATAATGTTATGTGTCAGGGCCTATATTTTCGCCCCCCAAGGAATAAAACATCCATCTCAAATATGAATGTAAATGGCTGTCTCTCCAAAAAAATTAAAACCAGGCCAAATATTTCTTTTAAAAATTTATTTTTACATATTCATGATTGCCATGATGATATTATATACTTCTTAAAAACTAAGGCCAAAATCCATTTCCAAAATGGATTATTAGAAGGGGGCACATTTATGCTTGTAACTCCGGAGAGTCATAAAAATTGTGTCCTTATTTGAATAGCTTGAAAGGGCATTTAAAGTGTTTAACGACCTTTTTTTTGTGAACCAAGTTTTACCTGGGCCCAGACCTAGGCCCAATTGTGGCCAATGCATTCAGTTTGCGAACAATAAATGCATTGAACCTAGTCGTCTGCACATTCATATTATTATTGCATGGCGCGAAAATAAATGCACCCAACTCGTAATACTGTTAATATTTGGGCTTCTATAACACATGCTCTTGCCGGAGCATAATGTAAACGCAAAGTTTCGTCTTGCATCTCAGGCCTACTTTAAGGGATTATTATATCAAAGCATCTGGGATTTTTTTCAAAACATTTTTAATTTGCCTAATCA